GTAATTTGTGGGGCAGAAACGGGTCTTCAATTATAAAAAGTCGTTTAACAAATAAGAATACATTAAAATTAAATGCATAAAGGTGCACTGAAAAAAATTTCTGGTTGAATATGGACGAATCAGATAATTCCTTTAGGATTTACCAGAATTCCTTTAGGATTTACCAGAATTTCTGTAGGATTACAGAAATTTTTTTCAGTGTGGACATTTCAATTTGACTCACAATTAGTCTTTGTGAAATATCTTGTTTCTAGACGTAATATTGTATTGCGCGTCTCTTGTCACTCTTAAAATCGTATTATTACGCACAGAAATTATATTTCACCTTCGCTGTTCGGTTTTATCCCCCCCCCCCCCCTCGTATGAAATTCTCCAATCAAGACTACGCGGGATGCCAAAATTCGCGCTTTTTTTTCGCACGCTGTTGCGCCAGTCGTTGATTAATTCCTCGTTGTCGCGAGACTTAAAGTTCCTTTTGTCCCGTTAAGCCTGGCAGACAGACTGCGCAATCCGTAACGATGAACGACCGATACCTGGCCAGAGGCGCGCGAGCAGCCTCGTTATCGACGATCACGTTTGGCGCGCGTTCAACGGGTATCATTTCGTCGGTTTCGTCTAGTTGTCGGACGAAAATGTGTTGCGCCGACGGCATCGTAAAAGGCAGCCGCCGTAGAAATACTTAAAGGTCGAACCAGATTAGCAATTGCCGACTCGGATTAGATTGGAGACTGACGATTGTCCTCTAGCCAATGAGAGCCGAATAAATCGCTGGCTGCTTTGCACTCATTGGCTAGAAGACAATCGCCAATTCCAGTCCAATCCGCGTCGACAATCGCTACTCTGACTCTGCCTAAAGATCAAATCAAACTAGCCATTTCTGACTGGGATTAGATTGGGATTGGCGGCTGACGATTGTCCTCTAGCCAATGAGAGCCGAATAAATCGCTGGCTGCTTTACTCTCATTGGCTAGAAGACAATCGCCAATCCCAATCCAATCCGCGTCGACAATCGCTACTCTGATTCTGCCTAATGCTCGTATCACACTAGCGACTTGCGATTGCGATTGCATCGGCGATTACGATTGGCTATTTCACATTTTTATGGCTGCCTAGCCAATCACAATCGTCGATGCAATCGCAATCGCAGTCGCGAGTCGCTAGTGTGATACGAGCATAAAGACCAAATCAGACTAGCCATTTCTGACTGGGATTAGATTGGGATTGGCGACTGACGATTGTCCTCTAGCCAATGAGGGCCGAATAAATCGCTGACTACCTTGCTCTCATTGGCTAGAAGACACCAATCCCAATCCAATCCGCGTCGACAATCGCTACTCTGATTCTGCTTAAAGACCAAATCAGACTAGCCATTTCTGACTGGGATTAGATTGGGATTGGCGACTGACGATTGTCCTCTAGCCAATGAGGGCCGAATAAATCGCTGGCTGCTTTGCTCTCATTGGTCAGAAGACAATTGTCAATTTCAATCCAATCCGCGTCGACAATCGCTAGTCGCTTATTCGGCCTTAAGTCTCACGTCTACCAAATATCAAATACAGATCTGTCAAGCGGATTCCATATAAATTTCCACGGGTGCCATATAAAGTGCAATTTCTATAAATGTCGCATAAAGTATCGGATATACTGGAATTATAGCGATCCTGCCGTTCCGAGGGACCGGCACGAGGAGAAATCCACCGCGGTAACGCACCGCGCCGCGTAAACTGGTTTCCTATTCTCGTTTCTGGCCGAGCAAGGTCGTTCCCGTTGCGTGCGAGCGATCTCATTTGCGCCGTAATTCCTCGCTTATTTTTTGAGGTCCGCCGACGTCACGATCCGGGAGCGGCGGGGCAGAGGGGGGAGGAGAGGCCGCGCAGATCTCGCGCATACGATCGTTCCGAAAGTAAACGCATCGGCGGCGCACGAAAGGATAGATCTTATCGCGCCCGGCTCTCGAGCGCGATCCCCGTCTCGATCGTTTCCGTCGATTAATGTACTGGAAACTAATACGCCTAATTTAAGGCGTGTCGCTGAGACTCTCCTCCTCCTCCTTTTCCTCCTCCTCCTCCTTTTCCAACGCAAGAGCGGACGAGCTCCCGCATTCCTCACCGTAACAGGCGGTGCAATTATCAAACGCGCATCAAGACGCGCGCGCGCGCGCGCGCGCGGAGCCGTGCAATTAGCCGCCGTGATTTCTCGCGCATCGCACGTTCCGATTTCTACGTCTTCTGGATCTGGGGAGGCGTTCACGAATAATCCGGACTCTTCTCAGCCTTTGCATACCGATCGCGATCACGCGTCTGATTACCGTTGTAAAAGTTATCTGCGCTCGTGACATCTCCGTAAGTTCGTGCGAATTCAATTGTTTTTTCAAAACGAACCGTTTGACGATAACATCGAACACGACGATCCTTCTCGTCTCTTTTTCCCCTCCCCGTTTATTTTGCAGGTGGATTTAATAACGAAACTGTCAAGATCTTGTCTCCCAAAAAAGGAACCATTGAAAAAATTAATATATCTATTTGATATAATGAGAAACAGTCGGTGGAAAAATGACCAGTGCTAATTCCGTTTAACAATAAGATTGAAAACCGATTTTTAATCCTACCGATTTTATTCGACCCGAAGGCTAAACTTGGTATGAAATATTTAAAAAGTTGACTATCGTGATTCAAACTCTAATTAGTTGCGGTTCAGCGAACCCCGTCTTAATAATCGTGAGATGCACGTAAAGCGCCCGGCGCGCTATTGATCTTGAAATATCGACCGATCGAGATCGCGATTCAGTCACGACGACGATCCAGCCCCGAGACACCTGCACCTCGCGCGGAGAGCGAAGAGGCCTCGGCTGCGTGCCTTGACGACTCCTTTTAGAGTAATTACAACGACCCTGACACATACTCGGAAACGATTAAACAATGCGTGTGCGTAGTAGAGCCTCTGCATTCCGCGCGTAAGATAACTCGGACGTTTAGCTACGCGTGTAACATTGCCGTTCACTTATAGATATCAAATGTGTTGAAGATAAAAGATGTATACGCAAAATATCGGGCATTAAGATCCAGCATGACCGTCATCTTTCTATTATGTGATTTATTTATATTAATAAACAATAATGTCATGAATTAGGACCGATGCCAACAATTAAATTAGAAAGGGCCATCTATTTGTATTAAATTTGTTTGCCTTATATTTTTATTGAATAGGCATTAAAAATTTGTCTCGTTAATATTATTAATATTAATATTACTATTTCCTTTATTTCACCCGATAACATTTTATGCTCGATTGTTTGGATATAACATTTTAATGTAAAAAATAATAAGGTATCTAGTTTGTATAAATATTCCGTTTAGTTGGCGCCATTTGATGATATTATTTTTGTCGAGAAGATACTCTTGGGGAGGGGGAGAGAGAGAGAGAGAGAGAGAGAGAGAGAGAAGATAAAAATGTTTTTTTTCTAATAAAAGATATCCAAATAATTAAATTATATAATTCTTGATTTATTTATACGTGCCTGGTGCTGTATTAGAAATTTATCCGTCGATTGCGAGGCAACATTTCTAGAGAATTTTCTTTTAGAATTTATCTGAAAATCATACAATCTCGGGACATGGCATTTTGAAAGAATTTCAAAAAAATTCTTCGAAGTACCATGTTTCACGATTACATGATTTTAAGGGTGAATTTTAAAAGAAACTTCTCTCCGTTCAATTTTCAACAATCATCCCCGTTATAAGCGGATGTCGCTGGTGCACTTTGATGCTACTCCCACTTTACGTAACGGCACGTCGCTCCGTGCTTAAACGGGCGCCTTTAAAGAGCGTTAATCGGTGAAAGTGACGCTCGCACCTGGTCCCCCCTCGAGATAATCGAAGCCACGTTTTCGAAACCGCGCGCACAAATAGGGAGACGCCGATGTGGGTGGCGAGTCGAAAGCGGGAGTTACAGCCTCGTGCGATCGAGCGGCGCCGTATATTCGCGTTGCGCATCGGAAAGGTTTTCTCTCTCCTTCGTTACTTTAAACGCTCATGTGAGAGTCCCGGGCAACATTGTCTCTCCGCCAAGTGCCCCGATAAACCGGTGCCCCCCAGCTCGCAAAAGACGGAGGCGTCGCCGGGGGCATGAGATAGGTTGTCGCTGCGTTACACGTCCCTGCCCCTCCGCGACACTTGCGCGGCAACGTCCTTCGCAAGTGGATCCAATGCACCGTGAGAAAATAAATCCGGGCGCATTGTTTCGCGCGCATTGTCGGATGCTTTCTACGAAAGGAAACGCGCTCCACGGACGCTTTCCACAATCAATTCTCTCGCTCGCGCTCTCTGTGTCTCTCTCTCTCTCTCTCTCTTGGCTACTAGGTAACTTGCGTCCGTTTTTGGGAAAGTTTCCGGAAAGTTTTGCGACCGCGCGAAGTCGCGCGAGTAAAGTAGAATAATGTTTCATTTGTGCAGAAGTGTGTCTTCGCTTACTTCGCCGGGCTATTTTTATCGGTGTGCGTCGCCTAGAAAGTTATTCGTTTAATTAAACTGTTCTGCGTGCGGCGTTTCAAGATGCAACGCTGGCCGTTTTGCAACGCGTCTATTATGCGATATATCTAGTCTCGCCGTACATTCGCGTCTTCCGCAGAAATTGTCAACACTCTTGTTTCATTGTCGCGTTTCTTGTCCTTTCGAGAGCGCGATCTCCAGGGCGAAAGTAATTATTCACAGCAAGAGACAATGTCATTTTGTTCGACACTTTTAATTAAAAGTGTTCAACAGCGTAAAACTTCCTTGGCCAAGCTTAGCCAGAATTAGAAAATCTCTGACAGACGATCCTTTCCCGACACGCTCGATTAGGCGTTTAACGCCCAGTTTTTTCGAGCGCGTTTAACTCATCCTTCGTCCTCTACTATCCCCTTATGCCCGTTTTCACCAACGTCGCTTAACTTTGATCTCACTTTAATTCATCCTTTATCTCTTTCTAATTGTCTCCTTAGAAAAAGACAAAGGACGAATTAAACTAAAATCTCAAAGTTAAACGACTCTGATGAAAATCGAGGTCAGAACGAGACAAAGAATGAATTGAACCAGGGTTCAAGTTACACTCAGAATAAAAATATCTAGTTAGGCTGAACAAATGAGATACGTTGAAAATAGGTTGAAATCGTGTGTCTTCGAATCTACTAAATTTTTATTTACTTCTACTGAAAATCTGCCAGATCTCAAGAAACAGATCTGAATTCTCTCAGAAATTCTAGTCTCGATTAAATATATGTTGGTTAAGGTAAAGAAATCACTTCTTTGAAAATTAAATAAAAGTCTGGTAAGGTCAAAATTCCAAGAAACCTTTTTCTGGGCGTAGGCGACGTTGGAAGAACCTAGTCTAAAACGCCGTGTCAAACTTGATGGGGTTACATTTCTAATATCAGAAGGGCGCGATTACGTCTAGGGTGTACCCGAGAGAAGACCGCCATTGTTGGGAGAGAAAGAATCTACTCTAGTCTCGATCAAATAAGATTTTGATTAAGGTAAAGAAATTACTTCTTTGAATTAAATAAAAGTCTGGTACACAGAGAGAAAAAAATAGTTGCAGTTACCACAATCTCACTATAATTTATAGTCATTTTTGGACCCAACCATATTTTTATAATTCTTCCAACTACGTAAGTTATGGTTGACCTAACAATGTATTATAGTTCTCATAGACACAATATTGGTCCATGCAATTTATGATATGGTTGTCATAAACCAAAACGAGCTTTTAATTTGGTAAGGTGTGAATATAGTCAGGAATATAATTTTTATAGCAATTATCACTATAATAAAGACTATGAATATTGCAATAACAACCACAAGTAAAATTTCGAATAACTATATGTAATAGTAATTTCATTATATTCATTGTTTACATCACTTTGCACTCATAAAGAATAGTACAAGATAGCATCTTTCAAAGAAAAGATAAGCAATCTTATACGAATGCGTAAACTTATCCGTATTTATAACACCCTAAGCGGTTTTTTACTTACGAGAGAGTCTTGTACCGCGCGTCCCTCTAGTGAAGACATTCCGAACCACTTCACTTTTGTTTACCATGCGAATAGTAAAGTGGATGATAGAAAGTATAGTTAAATTTACTATTTTTGTACTTGCACCTACTATATAAAACTAGTTAATTTAGTTACTATTCACCATCTTAATATTTTACCAGAATAATGGTTAAAAGCTTCATAAATAATAGTAAAATTTTTATGCTGGTTGGCATCACTATGGCTATATGGTTGTTATTACTAATATTATAGTGATAATTGCTATAAAAATTATATTCCTGACTATAATTATTTTACTATGCAATTATAGTCGCAAATACTACGTACCTTTCTCTCTGTGTAAGGTCAAAATTCAAACAAACCTTATTCTGGGTGTAGGCGACGTTGGATGAACCTAGTCTAAACCGCCGTGTTAAAATTGACGGGGTTACATTTCCAACAATCCGACAGCAGGTATATTACATTTCTAATATCAGAAGGGCGCGATTACGTCGAGGGTGTACCCGAGAGAAGAGCGGTGCGTCATTATTTTAAGGGAGAGAAAGAATCGTTCTCTCTCCCTCTTGACCCCCGGGGTCGCGAGACGGGAGACTCGGCTTCTGCAGGGCGAGGGTCAGTCACGTTGGGCTCGAGGGACCCAGCGGTATACCTCGACTCGTGGGTGCGTGTGCGTGCGTGCGCGTGGGCGTTTCGTACCCACGAAACGCAGCAGCTGACTCACTCGGCGCGACCGTCCCCGCGGCGCGGCGGAGTCCGAAGCCGCGCGCCGATTCGCTCGTAGTGCGGCCCCGCGCTCGGAACCGGCGGCACGTGTTCCTCGGATAGGACTCGAGTCGACTTGAGTTACGTTCGACGTGCCGCGGCGATTGTCCCCCCGGCGTGGACGCGTGGCGAGGATGATCGACGACGACGTCGACCGGCGGAGGGAATCGAGTTGTTCGGCGGAGGAAAGTGGCTCTTGCCGCAACACGGGCCGTCAAAAGTGCATCTCGACGGAGACTGGGAGAATCTGAGAAAGGACAGATTGGTTTTTTTTTCCTTACCGAAAGGAAAGGGCGCGAATATACACCGGCGATCTCGGGAAATTTGCGCGCGGACGCAAACTGCATCCGACGCGTTCGGCGGATCGCGTGTCTCGGAGGGCTTTCTTTCTCACGCGAACAATCGTGCTCGTTCGCGGAGTGACTCGTCATCTCGGAAGTGCGTATCGATCGCGATTCTCGCCTCGTTATCTCCATTCCCGGGATCTACTGCCGCGAGTTAGTGCAAGTCATAGAACGTTCGCCGCGATTGGCGCGGCGATTTCTCCGACGGCGCTCGAGAGGATCCGACCGGATTGTGCGTGAAAACAAAACGACTCCCGACTGCCGCTTCTCCCCCACGGAGGGTGTCGGGATTCCATCGCCGATCGAAGACAGATGTTGGACCCGCGCCACGGGAGAATCCACGCGTTATCGGGAAGAAGGGGGCGACGCATTCCCGCGATGCAGCTGCAGCTGTCGGCGCAATCGTTGCTAATCGTTGCCGAACGTTGCTGGGCGTAGCTTCGCGTCCTGCGTTTCGCTAGTTGTCAGAGAAAGAGAAATATCGGAGGAGGGAGACGCGGAGTCGACGAGCGACTATCAAGTTATTAATAATCGCTCCGCGAAGTCGATCGCTGAAATTCAATTCATTCGCTGCTCCTTTCCGGACGCTTTCCCGGAAGCGAACTTGCGTCGCGAAGTCAACAATTCAGTCGGGAGGTGATCCCTCGAGAGCAAGCGGAGGACGTGATGAGTCAAGGTGTCACGATTAAGGCATCGTTTACACGATTTCCCTCGCTGTCGGCTCGAGTCTCTGGCATTCTCCGACGACGGGCACAGCGGAGAAATTTTCGTCGGCAAAAGTCTGAGGAGGCCGCGATGCGTTGCAATTTTTCACCTTGACTCCGCGACTCGAGGCGCGTCACCGTGCGAGAGGAGTCTTACTCGGAGGGGGGGCGATTGTCGAGAAAAGGCGAGGATGGCGAGCGAGGTGATGCTGGCGCCCACGCCGGCGACGTCCATATGGGAGGTGGACGACGTCAGGGATATGGTTAGAAGCGCGACCGTCACTACGATTTACGTAAGTCGGTCCTCGTGCATAAATCGCGCCACATTGTGTCCCGCAATCGGCACTCGGAATATATATCGGAATATATAGATGTCAAACTGTCATGAACTATTACTTTGTAAACGGTAGAAATTTGATTTTGCGTTAAACGATAAACCTTTCATCTTATATTTCTATATACCATATATATCTTATTTTATTGGGTAGGCTTCATAGCAGCTATCTTTGCTGGTGCACTACCTTTTGCTTGTATTGTTTGTCAAACACCTTATTGTATTGTATAAAGCAATAAACATAATAATAATATATCGTTCGACTTCTCGCGATTTTATATTATCCGCGCAAGGCATATCCTTTCGATCTAATAGACTGAACGTAAAGTATGTAAAGAGTTTTATAATTTTTTAAGACGAGAAACTATCCTTGTCGAGCTTCGCCACAGGAAAGTCTCGGGGACATCGTGCAACTTTTTTTCCTAAGTTTAGTTTGAATTAAAAAAATCGCACACGGAGAGACTTTTCTCTGGAAATTTACCCCGAAAGTCATGTGATTGTGGGACAACGTGGCATTTCGAAGCACTTTATGAGAGTCTTTTGAAATTTTACCGCACGTTCTACTAGTAAAATGCATAGTGAAGTTTCCAAAGCTCATAAAATGTTCAGAATAAACTTGAAGAAAACCTTTTCTCCGTGTGTAATTCTTGGGGGGCGAGAAACTATCTTTGTGGAAGCGGATATGGAAGCTTCGCGGCATTGTAGTACAATGTTTCTTTTCCTAAGCCTGCGGTCCGAGCTTGTCGGACGCCGTTCCGTTTCTCGGCCGCTTTATCTGCGGTTTTGCGTGCGGGCGCACGCGCGCCGAGACGCAGCCCGCGCGAATCAAGACGGCAGCGATCCGCGGTTACTTTGTGCACGCTCTTGGCGTGACGAAGGACAATAGTGCCAAGGACAAGATTTCACTCCTGAACGCTAATCGAGCCGGTCGTCACGGGCGGCGAACAGTGCGACGCTCGGAATCCGGTGGCGCACTTTCGATCTCGCGAACGCGCGATTTCGCTCCGATTTCGATCAGATTTCGATTCCCTTCTCGCGGCGCAAGTCGACGCGACTGGGCCTTCATTCAGGAAAACAGCGCGAAATCGGTAGCGCCTAGAGACCCTGCAATCAGAGACTGGTCATGGGAGCTCGTCAAATTCCTGCGAGTGAGAGAGAAACATAGGCTATCTCACTCTTCTACGATCATAGAATCGATAAGTAGAATCTTCTACGATTCTACGATCGTAGAAGATCTCGAGGATCACTAAAGACTGGCCATAAGAGTTGGTCAATTCGGTCAAATCGATAAGTAGAATCTTCTTACGATCGTAGTGAGATAGTCTATGTTTCTCTCTCTCTCACTCGGAGGAATTTGACCAACTCTTATGGCCAGTCTCCGATTATAAGGTCTCTAGCAGCGCCGAGGGTAGAGAGTCGCTCTTTTATTAACGTCGCGTATCGGCCTCGCACTTTTTTCCCGATCGAATCGCGGAAGAACGAGGGCGTTATACCGACGCGGCTTCCGCGGATCGCAATTTGCGACACGCTCCGGCGGCTTCTCGCCGCGCTGGGAGGTGTTGTCGACTCTTGTTGCACAACTAATTAATGGGTCGATCGCGTATGCGGAACGTGCCCGCCGGAGATCTTACGGCTGCGCGTTCAATCGATCGTTCGCCGGCGATACGCAATTACGCCAAGTCCTTCCAGAGTTAATCCGCGAGTGAGGCACATTAGGGTGCTGTTTCATTAGTCGTACGACAAATTTGTCAGACGTGCCGAGACTGGTCGCGGGATAGAAAAGTCCTCGAGACATTTTCTATTCTGCAGCTTAACCGATACGCTTGGAAAGTTTATTTTACGACAAACGAAATATCACGCACTGTCGGAAAACATATTTGGATGCGGTTCATAAGATACGCACTTAGCCAAACCATTCGTACATTTCCTTTACTTTTTATCAGACACGCACTGTTAAATTTAACGCAACGAGTAGTCGCCACTGCTCCTGTTCAATCTGTCGTTAGTTTTAACTATCACGTGTAGTAAAATTTATTTTAACACAAATTGTAGTAAATCCATTTTATGGTTTCTTTTAACTCTAATTTTTTAACTAATACGAATTATTCAATGCCGCCAGCGATAATTAACGACGCCAGTGGTTTCCTGACAATACCTGGCATTTTTAATAATACACAATCTAATTTTTTAATTAATTAGATTAACGACGTGTTGAGTAGCAGCGGCGGCGACTCTCTACTTATTCATTGTGAGTTAAATTTAACGCTACAAATTTAACAGAGTAGGAGCTGGTCTTGTCGGCCGAATGAAGGTTTTCGTGCGTGTTATCTCTTATTACAATTAGCGTTCCCTTCGGTCCGCACTTTCGATCCACTTCGGGCGTGGATTGCCGAAGTCGCGTAGGTTGCCATGGAATGGCACTCGACTGCCCACTCGGTAATTCGCGTTTCAGATCGCACGCGCGACGTTCCGACAAGTCGGTCCGTGAAGCCGTTTCACGCTTACGTAAATTGTAATGTAAAGTATGTCCCCTTTGCCGCGCGAATTCCTCTGAATTTTGTCGCCGGGACGTCTTTGGTTTTACCTTCAAGACGATTTCACTCCCGTGGAATTTCGATTCTCCACTCGGGGGGGGGGGGGTTAGACAATGACGAAACGAAGTGTGATGTCATTGCCGAGTTTTATGTAATCTAACGTAAGTGGGGCAATCCTTTCAAATGCACTTGCTGAATAAACGCTCGTCGCGCGGAATTAGACGTCGAAGCGAGTATCGCGGATACGGCCTGTCGAGGTTAAAGTATACCTGAGCTCTTATTGATGAGACTAGTGTCGGATGCGTCGAGCTGTCCTAGGACGAACTTTGTAATTTCGCTTCGACGTCTCACCGCAAGAATTAAGAATTTCCTCTAGAACTTGGCGCGGAAATTATCACGGAAAGTGTGAACGTTCCCCAGATAGATTAAAACATCTATACATTTTTAATATACAGGCAAGTCCTCTATTATGGAATAGGATTCTGTGAGATACACTAGTACACGAAGAGATTTCTCTGCAAATTTATCCCGAAAATCATATGATCGTGGGACAGCTTGGCATTTTGAAAAACTCAAAGCCTATCACACAATAGGAAAGCACAGACAATAGGAACAGGGAATAACACAGGCAACAGAAATAACTAAATTTCAACTTACCAGAAACCGTGTGTCGACGCACAATGGAATATGGAATAGGCAATAAGAACAGAATTTCCGACGCGTTGGATTTCTGTTCCCTATTCCCTGTGCCTGACCAATCGCAGTTGAGACTCTGGGACAGGCACGTGGTTTCAAAAAGCAGACGATTGGACAGCATTCCTATTGCCGACGAATTATTGTGTCTTGGCATTACGTAGATTTCTATTCTGTATTTCGATTCCTTATTCCTATTGCCTGTGCTTTCCTATTGTGTGATGATAGGCTGAAGATTCTTCGAAATACGGTGTTGTCCCACGATTACGTGATTTTCAAGACAAATTAAAAAAAATCCCTCAGTGTAGGTTTTTCAACGTCCAAATTTAATCACAAATCTTTTTTCGCAACGATTACACGATCTAACGATCCATTTTCCAAGGGCAATAAATTCATTGTGGAACCAACAGATGATGCCTATTAATTTAGCAGAAACTCCGCTATCTCAATAGCAGTCTATCTCATAATACGGGACTTTCCTCTCTGTACAATATGGTCTACACTAATAAATAAAAATATACTAATTACCAAATTAATAAAATTCGTATGGCTCAAATGTGATAAACACAAATTTGAAGGAATATAGGACTAAGAGCCGTGACGGGGTGTTAGTGTCTGAATATTTTATTCTAAATTTATTGCGAAAAAATATTACCTCAGCCAGGCTTTGAACCTGGACCTCTCTCTCGCTAGGCGGGCGTCTCAACCAATTCGACCACCGAGGCATATGGAAATATTCATCGCAATAATTACAATATGACAAACTAATTATAATGTGATAGAGTACTCAGAAATTAAACGTCTTTACAAGGTTTTATTTATAAAGCATTAACGATGGGACTTCCAAATATTATCCTCAACGTAGCGATTGCACGCTGCCTTGTCTCCCTCTCGTCCTCTTTGTCGGCTTTATGACTCTCGTGGGCGGGTCGAACCGGGAAAAGTGAATTCCCGTATTTGGTAGCGGTGCCGTTACGCGATTGTTATTCACGAAAACTCGGTGACGTGTCGAACGTACGTGTACGATCCCGTGCACCCGCGGCGAGCGGTAAAGTCTCAGCTCGACGGATCAAAGGGAGAAAGTGCACGGTGAAAGAAAGAAAAGGAATAAATCGAGCTCGATTTCCACCGTCGTTGTACGAAGGGCCTCTCTCTTTCCGGCACCTTTCGCCGGCTCCTTCAAACTTTTTTTAACTTCACTCGAGTCGCGCTCACCCGCGTCCCCTTCGGATTCACCTCGCCACTTTGCACGGCGCTTTGCCCGAAAACCAGTTAGCAATTCACCAGGCCGTTAAATTGTCTCGAGTATATGTCACGTCCGTTAAAGCACTGCGACTTTGAACCGTTAAAATGACACAATTGTCAATGCAGTTAGTATGATTGCCAGTCTAACGTTAAGAGATTATCTGTAGCGAAAAAGATTCGTGATCTTTTAATTTTCGTCAAAGCTATTCCAATGCAATTAATGCTAAGCGCCTCAGTGGTCGAATTGGTGAGACGCGCTCGCCTAGAGTGTACGTAATTTCAAACCCCGAGGTAATATTTTTCGCAATAAACTTTCTGTATTATTAAAAATGCCAGATATGGTCAAGAGAACACTGACGTTGTTATTACTGCTGGCGACATTTGGGAATATTCTTATTAGTTAATTTAACGATATTTAAAATTGCGCCTGTACAGTTACACCAACTTAATTCATGTACTGGCAACCCTCATTTATTTGTGCTGTCTC